GCGGCAGCAGCAGGTGACCAGTAGCACCAAGGGGCACGATGCTAATTAGGGTTTAGGGTTTAGGGTTTGGTGTATAACTGCAGCAGAGGGGATAATCACCTGCAGCTGGCCTGTAGAGACTCTAGTGTCTTCTGCAGCCTGCAGCACAAAGCAGCAGCAGCAGCAGCAGCAGCAGCAGCAGCGGCGGCAGCAGCAGCAGCAGAACTCCTGAGTTAACCGCTACAGGAATCTAAGACCCTGGGGGCCCCTTGGGTCTATTGTAGAGGGAGGGGCCCCAATAATAATCGTAAACCCTAGGGACATGAAAAAAACTATTTAGGGTTTAGGGTTTACGACTAAGGGTTTAGGGTTTAGGGTTTAGGGTTTAGGGTTTAGGGTTTACTCGTGCATGCGTTTTTTTGCTGCCCATTCTTGTTTAAGTTTTTCTTTCTTTAGTCTTTCTTTGTCTCTGCAGCAACGCACAGCATATATTAGGAGGATAAATGAGCAGCAGCAGCAGCAGCAGACAGCAGCAGCAGCAACCAGCAGCAGCAAACAGCAGCAGAGGCAGCAGCAGATGCACGTACCGCTGTAGTACTGTCATGGCCCTGTGAAGAGTCAGCACGGCCTCCTCCAGTCTCCCCGACTGAGCAGCAGCAGCAGCAGCAGCAACAGCAGCAGCAGCAGCAAATGTATTAATTAAAAATGGACAGCAAGGCAGCAGCAGATGCTAACAGGAAGCAGTAGCAGCAACAGCAGCAGATAGCAACGCTGACAGTAAGGCAAATGCTGCAAATGCAGCAGCAACGGCAGCACCAAGAACAGCAACAGCAGCAGCAGCAACAGCAGCAACAGCAGCAACAGCAGCAGCAGCAGCAACAGCAACAGCAGCAGCAGCAGCAGCAGCAGTGATGCGGACAGATTTAAATTCATTGAGAAGCAAATTTGCACGTTCCTCCGGGGGATCGTCTCCAATGAGCCTGCAGCAGCAGCAGCAGCAGCAGCAGCAGCAGCAGCAATAGCAGCAATAACAGCAGCAGCAGCAGCAGCAAAGGATACAACAGCTGCTGCTGCAGCAGCAAGGAAGGGGTAAGCTAAGGAGTTGTCTAAGTAGCGAAACGTACACAGGGAAGCAAAAGAAGCAGCAGCAGCAGCAGCAGCAACAGCAGCAGCAGCACCAACAACCGCAGCAGCAGCAGCAGCAACAACACCAACACCAACAGCAACAGCAGCAGCAGCAGCAGGAGGAGGACGTACCCTTGTAATGTTTTTTCTAATGTATTTTGCTGCTGCCTAGACAGCTCAAGTTGTGCATGCGCTTTTCTTGTTCTTGCTTGTGCAACAACTAGCTGCCTCATGGTTTGCTGCAGCTCTTTTTCTGCTGCTGCTGCTGCTGCTGCTGCTGCTGCCTTCTCTTTTGCTGCTATTCCTCCCCAATGCTTCTCTACTGATGCTAACTCCTCTGCATGCGCCTGCGCAGCTGCTTCCAACTCCTCAAGTCGTGTCTGCAGCAGCAGCAGCAGCAGCAGCAGCAGCAGCAACAGCAGCAGCAGCAGCAGTAGCAGGTGATGCGCTTAGACACACACACTAGTATGCATGCAAACAATCCATTATTAACAGCAGCAACAGCAGCAACAGCAACAACAGCAGCAGCAACAGCAGCAACAGCAACAGCAGCAGCAACTGCAGCAGCTGCAGCAAATGCAGCAGTCTTACTTGCAGTGAATTTTTTTCTCTGCGTAAGGCCATAAGTTCTCCCTATACACCGCAACACATACACCTTAAACCCTAAACCCTAAACCCTAAACCCTAAACCCTAATACTGAATATAATTATATATAGCGAGGGTTTAGGGTTTGTAGGGTTTAGCTGCCGCACCCTCAGCCTATCCACGAGGGGAGATGGCTCATCTGGGTGTTGGGGTTCTGCACATAACACAAACCCTAAACCCTAAACCCTAAACCCTAAACCCTTGCCCCACAAAATAAATCCTAAACCCCAAACCCTAAACTATGAACCCTCATCTCCTTTCCCTGGTCGTAGATCCCAACCCCTAACCCCTAAACCCTAAACCCTCCAACTCTAAAACCCTAAAACCCTAAACCCTAAACCCTAAACCCTAAACCCTAATTTAGGGTTTACGGTGTTACCTGCTTCTGCAGTACTCCATAAGAATCTTAATTTAAGTCGTGAGCCACAAGGACTTCGACAGATTGGACAACCAGCTTTGCTCCCTTGCCCGCTGCTAGATATCCAACGCTCTACGCTGTATATATATATAGACCAGCAGCACCAGCAGCAGCAGCAGCAGCAGCAGCAGCAGCAACAGCAGCAACAGCAACAGCAGCAGCAGGAGGAGGAAGGCATGAGATAGTCATTCCTCTAATCAAGATATGATCAAGGAATAACGCATGCAGCAGCAGCAACAGTCCAACGAAGAGCAACGGCAGCAGCAGCAAGCAGCAAATGCCTGTTTCTATGGGGGGTTCCTTAACCCTGGGGGCCCCCCCCCCCCCCCCCG